TGTACAACCTCTGGCAAAAAGTATTCGTTCACTTTTTAAAATGCAATAACTTTTTTGAAACTCCATTAAATGTGAGTTGAATTTCTTTTAAATTACAATGACTAAAATACTTCTTGTTAATTTTGCTATTACTTGGAATGAGACAAAAAAAATAAACACTTGTTCTCTAACATTTTTATTTGAATCTGGAACGAAAATGTAAAAAATGCGTTTCGTAGACCTAGGTAACTTATAAGCATACTGAAAATTTCATCAAAATTTGTTGACGTTATTATGAGCTACAAGCAATAGAATATCGTGAAAATCGCAGTTTTTCACGAATTTAAACCAATAGCAGATAATTTTTCCACCTTTCAGTGGTTGTAACTTAACTATACGTTAACCGATTTCAATGAAATTTTCGGTTTGCATATAAGTCACCGAGATGAACAAAACGCACTTTTTAAATTTTCGTTCCAGATTCAGATAAAAAAGTTAAAGAACGAGTGTTTTTTAATCTTTTATTGTCATTTTATGTAATAGCAGAATTTTTATAAAAAAGTGTGCTAGTCATTGTATCGTAAACTAGTACCTTTAACAGTTAAAAGAAGATTCAAGTCGCTTAGACTAGTTTGAAAAAAGTTTCTATGCTCCCCTAGTGAGATAAAAAAAAACTGTGAAAATTTTGCTAATAAACTTTGCATCATGAATAAAATATTTCAGAAAAATAGGCATTAACGTCGTCAGGAAAAACAAATCCTAAGACTCACATAATCCTTGAATGATTTATTTGAAAGGAAAAGGTTATGTATGCAAGTCTCTCTTCAGTGACCCGTGGCACGCGGAGTGACAATGAATGCACTTAAAACACTGGCACCGAGTGAAACAATATCCTACGACGGGACGCTTCGAGCAGGAATGCACCTGATGCCGTTTCAAAAAAATACCGGTTCCGGCATCAAAGTCTTTTGCCGGCTCGTGTATCGCGCAAAGAACAAAACCCTCCAGAACCACTTCTCGTGGAATGTCTTTATCAATGTTACTGGCTGACACGCGGCTGATAATGTCAGTAAAATGAAACATTGCGCGTCTTCATTCTTTCTACTCGTTACAAAATATTTGTCATTCGAACAGTTTACAGGAAATTCGCGCGCCATTTGTGCGTGCAGTTCATGAACTCGGAGATACTCGGCAGAAGTATCTTCGACGTGCCACGATCGCAACAAACATGAGTTAAATAGACATTCATTTTCATTCTCATTGTTAAAAATTTCATCTGCACTTATTGTTTCTTTACTCCTTCGTATCGTGTATTTTGCCATTATTGAGTAAAACCCGCGGTATAATCATGAAGAACAAGGAAGGGTCATTTCAATCGAACTCGTACGATTGCCTTTAGGAATTGAAATTCACAATTTAAGTTAGCTTGCAATTTATTGATTCTGCTCACCACAGTTGTACCACTTTGAATACGATACTAGAGATTGCAAAAGTACAATTGATTGCGTATTGATAAATTATTCAGAACTCATTGTAAAGGACGTTGCGTGTGATACGCAACGCCTGTGCTAAAAAGGGTCCCCAAATGATAAACCTTCACCTGAAACAATCTCACGTCGAGTGTCCCGAACGAGAATATACAGTCAATTCTTTCTAGTCGCTCAGATTGTACATAAAAATGGACAATTTAGGAAGAGGAGATACGATTATTTGAGCCTCGCGGTTCATTTCCATAGTTGCCGATTGTTAATAATTGTTGAGGTGCGTCGTGTGAGCACCTGATATCGTTATTCCGCGATATTAACTATCTATCGGGTTGTAAGGCCGACTACGCTGCGCGACGGAATAGGACGATATCGTTGTCCGTTTACTTAAAAATGAACAACTGTTTTACTTAATAGTTCTGGTTGATAGATTGAATGAGACGTAGACTAGAGTGACGAGCGATGTTGAACGATATGAACGAGGTTACGCAGGAGTAAAAAATGACTGTGTGAGGTGGTCAAGAGTTCTCGTTTTTATATGTTTCTCGCCGAGAGAAAACTTGAAGATCACTGGTTGATCGCGAGGTGGAAAGGGACCTTAGGAGTCCCGGTCGTACCCAGTGTCAGGTAGTAAGAAATCCCGGAAAAGGCGACCGAAGGGATGCGTGCTGGCGACCCTGTCATAAATTAAGGAACTGTTGCCGATGAAGTGTGCGTTATCCGAAATTGCAGAAATTACTTTATTGCCGGAAAGGAGACGGCTCGAAGAAATTGGAAATTTAGAAATTGCAGGCGAAGGCTCTACGAAATTGGAGGCCCAACGAACGTGACTTTTGTCAACTGCACGTTGAAGGACCGTCAATTTGCCACGCTGCACCGAAGGTTCCCGGTAAACAAACTGTTTTTTAGGGATTGAAGAAAGGTAGTCCGTCGCGGAGAAAGTCGGGCGGACACAGTTGGAAAATTCCGTTACAAGACGGAACAATAATTATAAAAACGAAGTACAAGGTTCGAATAATCGTATCTTCTCTTACCAAATTGTCCATTTTTGTGTGCGATCTGAGCGTCAATTAGGGAGAATTTACTGTACTTGACGGTACCACATGAAATTTTGTTTGCAAAGTTCACCTGAAAATTTCTATAACTATTTCTCCAAATACAATCGATCATTCCGTCTGTAGCCGAATTGAAAGTGCTGTCTCGTTTTTACGGAATATTCGAAATTGCTAAAAGTAGGTTCAAGGTACTTTATAATATAGCGTTAAACAAGAATGGATTCCTTGATACCTGACCTTGACCTCTGTCTTCTCCATTATATCGTTTCTTGTATTTTTTCCCGGGCCCATAATGCCATTCCTTTCCTTCTCCTCTATGCTCTCCGATCCTGATTTGATCAGAATTTCTTTTGCACTCTTCCTCCGCCATTTCACATTGTTTACATCTCTCCAACATTCTGTCCTGCCTGCTTCATTCCAAAACTAAAAACTGGTCCCAAAGTTGTATCAAGTTTTTCTACGCTTTTTGAATAGCTTTTCTCAGTCTTTAGGATTACAGTGACTCGCATTAATATTCGAACAAGATATTATTAGAAAAATTATTGCTGCCTTTTATTGTTTATGATAGTATTATTGAATCAATTGTTTTCTCATATAATAAAGCACTTCTTATAGTAAGTAGAAACATAAATTTCGTTTATTTATTGCGCATGTTCTTTTGTATAATAAGCGATAAACAAGATCGTGACACAAAATTTAACGTCGCAAAAATATTCGGACAGTGAATGAATTACATTAATTTTATATAAAATGAATATCTTTTTAATCATGTTATCATAATATTAATATTTTGTCGGTTGACCCTTTTGTTTTATTACTTCATGTAATCGCTTGGGCATACTACAGATGATTTTATTTAAATACTCCGGCGAAATCCGTTTCCATTCGTCTAACAAACGTTGTTTTATCTCTGTCATTGTTCTTGTAGGTGTTGTACGAATATTTCGGTCCAATTGAACCCATCATTTTTCAATCGGATTTAAATCAAGCGATTGAGGAGGAGGTTGCAGTACTTTTGGACAATTGTATAATAAATATTCCTGTACAATTCTGGCCTTCTGTTTAGGATCATTGTCCTGATAAAACTTAAAACTGTACGTATACCTATATTTATAGCATTTGTAATTAATTTTTTTTTTTAATGTCTAAATACTTCATTTTGTCCATAATAATCTATTACACTCCCACCATCGTGTTTCACTCTATCGGTCTTAAATTTGAAATGTTCAATTCTGTATTTACTTTATGCCACACCATTTTTCGACTGTCGGATCCGTAAAGATTAAATTTGCTTTCATCCGAAAATATTACATCATTCCACCACCAGATGCCTTTGTAAAAATATTCTTTTGCAAAGCTCAATCTTTTCTTGCGATTTGCTTCATTTACGTATAGCTCTCTACGAGGAACTCTTTCGTTGTAATCATAAGTTTTCAATACCCGCCGCACTGTGTCCGGGTGTACCTTCTTCCCAGATTCTACGAACAATTTCTTTGTTAATTTCGTAGCACTTCGTCCAGAATTTTTCTTTATTTGTTTTATTATCTTGCGTTGGTCGCGAGAATCTAATAATTTTGGACGACCTTGCTGAGGGATTAAATTGATTCAATCCTCACGAATGTACCGACGTGTAATATCTGCCACACTACTCTTGCTTATGATTTAATAATTTGGCTGTATCTCTGTATGATGTTTCCTTTTCCTTGTGATAAATAACCAATTGTCGGATTTCAAAAGACGCATTTCTTCCTTTTCTTCCCATTTTCACAAGTAAAGCGTCTGATATCACCAATACTTTCTGTGGTATCGAGTTCTCACAACGAATTAGATGTGTTTATAAACAATGTGTGTTTCCGGCGTCGTCAGAATGTAGTACAGTATTTTACTCTGGCATCTAAGATGTTGTGCCCGAATATTTTTGCGACGTTAAATTTGGTCACAATCTTGTTTATCGCTTATTAGACAAAAGAACATGTGCAATAAATAAACGAAATTTATGTTTCTACTTACTTTAAGAGGTGCTTTATTATATGAGAAAACAATTGATTCAATAATACTATCATAAACAACGAAAAGGAGCAATAATCTTCTAATAATATCGTATCCGAATATTAACGCGAGTCACTGTATATAAAGGAACCGCAAAATCTAGAATTCAAATCGAAATTTGAATCAAATATGAATGTGTGCGCACTGCTTGGTTTGCTGCTTATCTGCAATGTCAACGGTACGTTCTTGTGATCTATTTTTTTTAGAATCAGTGTTTATATTATATTTGTACTTGTGTGGCTAATAAATTCGGCGAACTTGTAAGAATTCTATATAAAACTGTTATCTGTTATGACAGAGAGAGAGAGAGAGAGAGAGAGAGAGAGAGAGAGAGAGAGAGAGAGAGAGAGAGAGAGTGTGTNGAGAGAGAGAGAGAGAGAGAGAGAGAGAAAGGGAGATAGTGCGTGTGCGTCGTGTATGAGACTATTTAAGTCGTTAAAGGAGGGACGTACGTTCAAAGTCAATCTGAATTTGAAGTAGAATCATTGTAACCACGGTAACCATGTCAGGCGGTAAGTGAGACAGTGCTACATTGTAATAGAATTATTTTTAAAGTACTGTAAATTAAATATTCTTTAACACTAGATATGAATAATCGTAAATTAAAAAATTAGTGAAAAAGTATACCGTGACATTCTCAACTTGAGCACCTTAAATATTTGATTCATTATTTTAACAGAAAATTAAATAAAACTTAATTGTTTACTTTAATAATTTAACAGATCAACAATAGTGTAGCATCATTTTGAAAAGTTTCTAGTTCCGTCTCGGTTTTGCATTTTATCTATTCATTGTTGTCATAAATACATACAATCCACAGCCTAGTGATCGGATTTGAACATTTGTCAAGATTTTAGTTCTTTCAAATCAGATCGTATATTATCGTCATCGTTTTTCAAATCACATATTACAAAAGAATTATTAACGTATTAACCGACAAGTGTGTTTACTTGTAGCATTGAATTTATACGTACATACAGTGGCCCACGAAAGTGTTCGTACACCATTTAAAACGCAATAAATTCTTCACAACTGAACTAAATGACTTGATTTTTCTTTTTTAGATGATAAGAGGCTAGTCTACTAGACGATGGCTAAAAAGCTTTTTTTTTTAATTTTGCTATCACTTGGAATGAAAAGAGAAAATTAGGAACCCTTGTTTCTCAACTTTTTTATCTGAGCCTATAACGAAAATTTAAAAAATGCCTTTTGTTGGTCTCGGTGACTTATATGCGTGCAGAAATCGGTTAACCCAGAATTGAGCTATAGACGTTGGAGGATATTTAAAACTGCAGATTTCTTATAACTTTGGTCAAAATCCTGATGAAACTGCGATTTTTGCGATCTTTGATTTGTTGTAACTCATAACAACCTAAACCGATTTCAATAAAATTTTCAACATGCATATAAGTTACCGAGATCTACAAAAGACATTTCCTCAATTTTCGTTCTAGGCTCAGATAAAAAAGTTAAAAAAAACGAGAGATTTTAATCTTTTTATCATTCCAAGTAATAACAAAATTAAAAAAAAAATACATTTCAATCATCGTCTAGTATACTAGTCTCTCTATCATCTATTAAAAAGAGTTCAAGTGAATTAGTTCAGTTTTAAAATAGTTATTGCGTGTGTGTGTGTGTGTGTGTTTCAAAAGATGTACGAACACTTTTGTGGGCTACTGTATATATTTTCTTCATATGAAAATTTCTAAATGGACCTATTCCATACGAATTAATTTTTCCGTTTTTCTTTATATCTAATTGTTATTTTAGCCGGATTTGCATAAAATGTTTTATTAATTTTTAGTATTGCACCGACAAACACGAAAAGTTTATCATCTTTCAGTAAAAAAGATAACCGACTTCATTGTCACGATATAAGATTATGCGATGCTTCACAGGTCTCAAGGAAGACGAAGCATTGTGGGATAAGATTAAAGATGTTTGTGAGTTTGACCTTTTCGCACTCGAAGATGCAGGGGACAGTGATTCATTAGACATAGCATCAGTGAATGAATCCTTGGCAGATAAGTTGCACGTCTTGAAACGCCGAGTATTCTTCGAGCTTTACACAAGACGTAACCCGCAGGAACAGCAACAGTTGTATGTTGATGATATCGACGCGCTGAAGAAGAGCAACTTCGATTTTAGCAAGCCAACCAAAATTGTAACCCATGGTTGGATCAACAGTGCGAAGGATGATGCAGTTTCTTTGGTTCGTGATGGTAAGAATCTTCTCTAGCGCATCCTTTAATGCTCGAACGTTTAAAATATGTGCTTCTTGAGACGATCTACAACTATATACAGTTTCTTATTGATAATATTCTTCATATTTCTCTAACAAACATATTCCGTACGTCCTTTAACACGAATTTTATTTATTAAATTAGCTTTGCGAATCATTCGTTGAACTGTGTTCGGACACGGAATTATTTAAATTAAAATATCATTTACGTACTTTGTAAATCTTCACTGTACACCTTGCTGAAAAATTTCATATGTTACACACGAGGTGTCATGCACACTAGAAAATTAAAATGGCTGTCATGGTAAAATTACTTATTATTTCGGGTCCGAAGAATTAGTAAATATTCTTCAGACGTTCTAAAGTAAAGGTGAACAGCGTTTTTCTTAAAAATATCACTGTTTTGTAGTAAAAAAAAATCTGGAAAGTTCTCGTTTCGTGATTTGTTCAATACTTCGGATGTGGCTCGAGTCCGTCCCGACTATCTGTCAAAGCCTCGTGCTGCGGGCTCTCGAACTTCGCGCCGTTGCCTCTCATTGATCAGTGTTTTTCGTTAATAACTCGTAAACAAAGCCGCAGATTGCATTTTTGCAAAGGAAAAAGTTACTTCAAATGACCTCAGCTACCCCTCATTTTCGGCTGTTAAAATAATTGTGGAACACCCTGTATACTATAGTATAGTATAGATCTATAGTTAGAATGAAATATAAAGCTAGCTTTAACAATTGCAGGATAACAGATCAAGTACAAAAGTATGCAGAGTACCGTTTGTCTAGAACTCTTGTCTGAAATTAAAATAAAGAGCATTGCGTTTTACGGGTATCACCTGGGTCTGTGCACAAAAACTCCAGCGCTGACGTCAAACTCAGCTGTTCGAGCTCGACGCCAGCCCAGTTGAACGACCTGCACTGTATACATTTGACAGTCCTGTTCGTCAATGTAACGAACGTTCAACGCAACTTAGTCCTTGCAATTTTCAAATTCCGCACTCCTTTACCTCTCCTAACCGATGGCCTACGATATATAAATAATATTATATAAATATTAATAATATTATTTATATAATATTATTATATAATTAATATAATTATATGTATATATATATATATAATTAATATAATAATATTATATAAATAATATTAAGGTAATATACGCGGTCGTTCTCGTGTGTGAGTCCTCTGTCGAATGAGCTCGCTCTTGTTACGCTTTTGTAATCTATCTGCACTTGCAGTCTAAGGGCCGATTCATATCTACGTGCCAGGTTCGGGTCGTGCTAGCAGCGCGCTCGATCGAGAGTGTTCACATTAGACATGCGAGCGTGATGCCAGCCAGGACCGATAACCTCGGGACTGAAGTGGGTTAGTCCGAGATTTCCGAGTTCGACTTTATTTTTCCCAAACATAGAAAAGGACAGCAAATGAAGGACAGATAACAACGCAATGTGTAACTTCTTTATTTTTCATTATTTCTTAATGGGACATTTTCCAATGCAATCGTGAGCTTCTTCTGATTAAAATAAGACCAAACACGATATATTGATTCTACGATTAAGTTGATTTTTACGAAAAATATAAATATATTTTTCATATTAATATTAACTTAAATATTTCAAGAAACCAGTGAAACGTCATCTTAGACGAAATTTTTATTTTTGTAGTTTATACACCATCCGTATCGAAATGATTGTCTGACTTACGAATTTGCAACAAAATAACCTTAACATTTCATTGAATTATGGCTCGCATATGGTCACCAGAAGTTGAGGCACTATTTGAGCTGTTTATTTTGAAAGTGGCATAAGTCACTTTGTTTTTAAGTCGATATATTTAAGGGTTTGCGTTTTAACACGTTTAAAAATATGAATGCTAACTTTCGAGAAGATTTACTTGTATTTATTATCTCAGGATACTGATATTTTTCTCAGTATAAATAATTTCGTATAAACATTACAAAATCATCACTTTTCATTACGGTAAAGTGACTTAAGCCACTTTCAAAATAAATAGTTTAGAAAAATGACTAACATGTATTAATTTTGACCGACGTATTTTACTGAAGTGATGTTTTGAAAGGACAGTGATTTACTAAAATTGTTGAATAAATTACATACATAATAATAATTTATACCATGAACATATTTAATATAAAGGTTTGATTTAAGTATTTTTTATTTTAATATTCATAAAATACAAAAATAATTAGTACATTTTGAAACATAAGTATAAGTAATTTATATGAAAATACATCAGTTCAATTTAATTTTCGTCATCAATAGGAGTGATTAAGTCCTCGGAAATCGGGTTTTGTATCAAATTTTTGAAATAACTGTGGTATATTGGGGATATATAATTAAGTAAGTCCATCGTGTCTTTGTATTTTGCTGAAGAAACAGGACGAGATCCAGCGTATAACGGATCCATTTCTATTTGTGAATAACGCCTAGGTCTTCCTCTTTTTGGTGACAAATCCAAAATTAGAAATTCATCTTTTTCATCTAAAGTTAGTTTATAAAACATTTTATAGCCATCTGCTGGTGGGTCTGGAGATAGCCGCCACATCACTATAATATAATTTACAAAACAGCAGTATTCTTTCGCGCTTATAAAATAAGTCCAGTCATCACAACTTTTTTAAAAATACTGAAAATAACTCAAAACAATACTTCACACACACTTATCACACGTTTCTATTTCTTTTACACTAAGCCCCGCAATTAATTTCCTGAGTACAGCGACTTACGCCACTTTCAAAATAAACATGTTTGTTATACCGTTAATTAGCAAAACTTCTCTCGAACAAATCTCTCAATAGTTCTCAACTTACTGATTGCAAATTTTTTTTAAAATGAAAAGATACCGTTCAATTGTAATTAGTGTTACCATTAACTCGATTTTTTTGAAAAAGTGACTTATGCCACTTTCAAAATAAACGGCTCATTTAGCCTTCATAGATTCCTTTTTTTGCATGCCTTGTCAAGTCGAAATGCTTTCCCGGGTTTATTTCCTGCAATGCTAGAACGAAAGATTGCGCACATTGTCCAATTCCGAAGTTCCGTCTCGCTTTGTTTTGATTACGGGCGAAGCAAGCCTGGCTCGGGCCTGCCTGCAAGTGTGAACACGTTTGGACGGAGCCAGGCCGCCTGGCACGCTGCGAGCACGGCACGTGTAGTGTGAACATTCCAATGTAAATCAAATGTAAGATCGATTCGGCCTTGGTCGGCCTTGGAGCACGGCTCGAGCCTGGCACATAGATGTGAATCGACCCTAATTCCGCTCTTTTCTATTGCGCTTGCAATCATCGCTACAGCTTTGTAGTCAAACATCGATCGCTTGATCGTCTCTTTCGTGAGCTTCGCGATACGTCATCACATTTTATTATTTTATTGCACATTTCCTTCCTCTGTATATAACTTATTTGTTAAGATATCTTTAGTCTAGCAAGTAAGCGTTTTAACCATACAGTCCATTATTCTACCTTGCAATCCCACTGGAGACCTCAACAACTCTTTTACATTTGTTAAGCTTTTGAAAATAATTTGATAGCAATCTTTACAACCGACCGCAACGATTAAAATCCTAAATTCTTATGCATTTTTCTAGCTTACTTGCAGCATGGTGACTACAACGTCATTGGAATCAACTGGGGCAATATAGCATTCAGGCCATACAGTTGGGCCAGTAGGCGCGTACTGATAGTGGGCAAATACTGCGCCTCCTTCATCGACTTTCTTCAGTCCCAAGGATTGAATTTATCGACGTTAACGGTTGTCGGTCATTCTCTTGGCGCCCATGTAGCTGGATTATCAGCTCGCTTTGCTCAAGGCCAGGTGGAACATGTCGTTGGCAAGTCATACGAATTATTGCCATTGTAATCACTTAATACTAGAACCACCGAATTCTAAACGCGACTGTTATACAGGCTGTCCCAAAATTATGGTACTTTCGGGAAATTAGAGATTCCTCGGGTCATTCGAAGCAACTTTTCCCTTTACAAAAGTTTTCTCCGAGGCATCGTTAACGAATCATTAACGGAAAACACTGACCAATGAGGGGCGAGCTCGGCTGGCGAGCGGCGGCCAAGCCACCGAGCGCGTGAAGCCCAGTTCCGCTTATTGGCTCGGCCGCCTAGCACCAAACGAGCTCGCCTCTCATTGGTCAGTGTTTTTCATTAATAATTCGTTAACGATGCCTCGGAGGAAATTTTTGTAAAAGAAAAAGTTGCTTCGAATAACCTCAGGAATCTCTAATTTCCCGGAAGTACCACAATTTTGGGATAAATTTAAATCAAACAACAACTGAAACAATAACACAAGATTATATAATAACGAAAATATTGATTAATACTTACTAAACTACCTTGGGTTCGTAAGCATACTCGGAAAGAAAAGACATGACATACCAAACAAATTTAATATGTCGAAATATCGATTCACATTAGTGATGATCCTATTGATGCAATTCTGTTGACCGTAAAGGGTACGATGAAATTTCTATACAAAAATACAATTTATCCTTATAAACGAGCGAGACTGGTGTAGAAATTGTCAAAAATTTTGATAATACTGCGTCTTTCAACTAAATCATTATGCACTTCTTCTACTGTGTCGTGATCATTTCTGATTCCTTCGAACGTCATAGTGATGGCTGATTTCTATTCATTAAAACACCAGTTCCTCTGAAACCGACAGGAAGTATTTATCAAAAGACGTAAACGACGATATTTCTAATTCTCTCTAATCCGTGCGGTGAAAAGGGGAACACTCCTGGCGGATGAAGAAATTCAAAGGCGATAGCGGAATTTATCTGAATCGTTTACCTTTCGTAGTGATTTTGCTTTCTCTATTTTCGCTGAACGTATAGACTGAATGAATGTCTGCGGTATTCCGTGAATGGCTACTCCAGCCCGAAAGTACGCTAAGTGCCTGTAGACGGAGTTGGCAGGTTTTGTTGAAGGGCTCGGATAATCCATTTAGCTAAGAAATGACCAAGAGAAAATTCCCAGCAGCTTCAGAAGTCAACCGAGTTTTTAAGTACCTCGGACGAATGAAGTGATTAAAAGACGTTGGCGGAGTCGAGAACCAGCTCGACCAGCACTTCGCGGTGCTTCCAACTTGCATTTTTCACCGCTAGTTGTGTAAACGTTTAACGAATCGCTTTCAATCGCGACGGCACAAGAAGCGTTTTTAAATAATATTCGGGGGAAGTCTGTTGGACGTATCGATTTCAAAAAAANCGGAGCCAGGCCGCCTGGCACGCTGCGAGCACGGCACGTGTAGTGTGAACATTCCAATGTAAATCAAATGTAAGATCGATTCGGCCTTGGTCGGCCTTGGAGCACGGCTCGAGCCTGGCACATAGATGTGAATCGACCCTAATTCCGCTCTTTTCTATTGCGCTTGCAATCATCGCTACAGCTTTGTAGTCAAACATCGATCGCTTGATCGTCTCTTTCGTGAGCTTCGCGATACGTCATCACATTTTATTATTTTATTGCACATTTCCTTCCTCTGTATATAACTTATTTGTTAAGATATCTTTAGTCTAGCAAGTAAGCGTTTTAACCATACAGTCCATTATTCTACCTTGCAATCCCACTGGAGACCTCAACAACTCTTTTACATTTGTTAAGCTTTTGAAAATAATTTGATAGCAATCTTTACAACCGACCGCAACGATTAAAATCCTAAATTCTTATGCATTTTTCTAGCTTACTTGCAGCATGGTGACTACAACGTCATTGGAATCAACTGGGGCAATATAGCATTCAGGCCATACAGTTGGGCCAGTAGGCGCGTACTGATAGTGGGCAAATACTGCGCCTCCTTCATCGACTTTCTTCAGTCCCAAGGATTGAATTTATCGACGTTAACGGTTGTCGGTCATTCTCTTGGCGCCCATGTAGCTGGATTATCAGCTCGCTTTGCTCAAGGCCAGGTGGAACATGTCGTTGGCAAGTCATACGAATTATTGCCATTGTAATCACTTAATACTAGAACCACCGAATTCTAAACGCGACTGTTATACAGGCTGTCCCAAAATTATGGTACTTTCGGGAAATTAGAGATTCCTCGGGTCATTCGAAGCAACTTTTCCCTTTACAAAAGTTTTCTCCGAGGCATCGTTAACGAATCATTAACGGAAAACACTGACCAATGAGGGGCGAGCTCGGCTGGCGAGCGGCGGCCAAGCCACCGAGCGCGTGAAGCCCAGTTCCGCTTATTGGCTCGGCCGCCTAGCACCAAACGAGCTCGCCTCTCATTGGTCAGTGTTTTTCATTAATAATTCGTTAACGATGCCTCGGAGAAAATTTTTGTAAAGGAAAAAGTTGCTTCAAATCATCTCAGGAACCCCTCATTTCTCGAAAATAATAACAAGATCGGATTTCTATTAAAATATATGTTTGAATAATGAAGTTTACCCTAAAATTGTTCACAGTAACATTTTTATAATATCGGGAATTCTAAAAGAAAAAATGATGGACCAGTTATTCTGACCGGTTTCGCAGTTGTAGTAATTATACTGTTCACTAGTGTGTTACATTTTGTTAAAATACAAAAACCATCTTTGACAAAATTCATCATACATAATAAAAATACATAGACAAGTTATATTATAAACATCAGAAGAACTTATAGAATACTGTTACCTTAAAATCAATTGCAGTCATTTTTATTTGGCAAGGATTCACAGATTTGAGAGTCATACGGTTTACTTGCAGATTGAAACTCTTGCACTCTTATAGTTTCCTGTCGTAGCAAGCTCTTTCGAAAGTCTAAAGTTTGTTTGTTTTTGCAGCTCTGGACCCAGCTCTCCCCAATTTCATACTTGCTGGGCCAGGCGAGCGAGTAGCTCGCGGTGATGCAAATTACGTAGAAGTCATTCATACTGACGCTGGTTTCTACGGATACGTAGACCCGATTGGGGACATCGATTTCTATCCAAATGGTGGTTCCCAGCAACCTGGTTGTGTTTCCAACATTTGCTCCCATACGCGAGCGTACAAGTATTTCGCAGAATCCATCAACAATCAGGCAGGTTTCGTTGGGTACAAGTGTGAAAGCTACTCGAAGTTCAGAGATGATATTTGCGACTCAAGTCCTAAGGCTTACATGGGAAGCATGAAACCGGATTATGAGGCCAAGGGCAAATATTACTTAAACTCGAACGCAAAATCCCCATATGCTTTGGGTGACGTTGCACTTAAACAATCAAGCGCTTAATGATTGATGCGCCTTGAATGCGTACGTTTAATCACAGTTTTTCAGAAAACATTGAAATATGAATACTATTGTTGTGTCATGTTGCTACGTACATGCTCTTGCTGAACTGAACCAATTATTGTAACACAATGAAAATAAATTAGTCAATCATTACAATTATTGTCGCGTGCATCATTCGCGTTTTCGACAACATCGGCGATATTTTTGTCAATGTTGCACTGGAAACGCAGCTATTGAGAAAACTCGATCATCGATCTTTTACCAAATATCGTAGAATAGAGGACAATTTCTGAATTACTAATTCATGAGATTCGCAAATTATGTAAATTGGATTGCGTGTTTTGAGGCGTGTTTTGACGTCTTCGCAGGACATTTCCGATACGATATTTCACCTACAAATTTGAATAACAGGTTTTATAAGGTTTATTGATTGTTTACAAGCGTGATTCTATTAGTACCACTAATCACTGTGAAGTGAAACTTACCACTAAACGCTGTATATTAGTTTTTGATTCGATTTCAAACATATTATTTATGCGCCATTTATACAGGGTGAGTCTCGTAACATGGCGTCATCAAATAACTCATAGAATATTTGTTGTACGAAAAATTATTTCAGATAGGAGTTGCATGGATTCGAGAGGGGGACCTGGGTCAACCGGACAAAATTGTCCTACTACATTGTGCTAACAGTCACGTTGATTCATGGTTAATTTCCTAATGCAACATAATTTATTTTTGCTAATATCTCGGTAACTATTTATTTTAGATCATACTTGGTATAGAGTACTTTTTGATGTAGAATTTAATGCTTGATACGAATTCGGGAAAAAATATTAACCATTTCATTGAAAAAATTGAAGGTGACCTTCGTATCTTGATAAAAAAGCAAAATAACGTAAAACTGATTATAGTACCACATGTCTCCCTGGAAACCATGCAACTTCTATCTGAAATACTTTTTCGAACAACAAATATTTTATCAGTTATTTGATGTCGTCATGTTACGAGACTCGCCCTGTATACTATTGGTACAAACATTACGTTCTAGTTTTTCATTAAATATTTTTGTGAAGAGAAAAATCCAAAGGAGTTTCATTGTCATCAAGAATTTCGAGTCGGCTAACGTGGCCGTCAAGATAGGCTTGTCAACAAGAATGTTTTCTTCGTATTCCTCACGATCCTCTCCGTCCTCCTTTACATTTTGTCATTTACTTTCCCCCAATGGCACAGCGCCACGTCCTTCATTCTTACCACTTCCAATTTCTTCGTTCCTTCTACTCTCTCTCTTTCTCTCTCTTTTTTTTGCTTACACCTGCCATTCTTCCTTTCGTTCTACAGTGTAAAACTGGTGTTATTTTGTTCGGACTGTCTCCACCTGCTTTTATCATCTCCCCCCATCTTCCATTTAGTTTTGCTTTTTGCCTTGCAAATCCTGAATGCTATATAAAGGAGTCGCATAAAGCAGAATCAGAATCCGGATTTGAACAAAACATGAAGGCGCACGCTCTGCTCGCTCTACTGTTTATTTACAGCGTACACGGTAAGTAGTTGCGACTTTTTCCACGTAATTTTTTAGAATAATCACTTGTTTTTCTCCCGCATTATTCCACGTTATTTAACTGAAGACATCAAAAAAGTTCTTTCATATTTTTTTACCTCGTATTGTTTTTCGAATCGAACTATATTTGAAATGTTTTTCGAGCTTTAAAATCAGCTGCACAAAGGAGCATAAAAATATTTCCATCTTTCAATGCAAGCAGTAATTGACTATACCTTCAGGAAATGAGGGTGAGTTGCCTAATACGTTCACCTAAACTGTTTCTGGCGTGTCCCAGAATGGCAATTGTTGTAATAGAAGAGATTTTGTCTCGAGATTATTGTACTGCCGAGACTCTCTTGTACCTTGTGTAATAATTGCCTATCCTTTCAAAGGTCTTCAGAATCCTCTGAGAGACTTAGGTACGCTGATTGGTCAAGAGGAAAACAATCTCGATCCTAAAGACGAGCTGGTGACGAATCCGGAAAACGTAAAAGCGCCGGATGAAAGCCTGGAGCACACGCAACGTGACCTGGACAATCGAGTATTCTTCTTCCTTTACACGAAAGACAATCCGATCGAAGGACAGCGATTGTATGTCGGCGACGATGATGCACTGCAGAAGAGCAACTTCAACTTTAGCAGACCTACGAAATTTGTCACCCATGGATGGATAAACACTGTGAAAGATGGCGCGGTCGCTTTGGTTCGCGATGGTAAGAATCATCGACGAACTTTGCATTCTATTCAAACTTCGCGTTTTTATGCATGCGCGACGACGTGAGCGAAGTGAAATATAAAGCGCTAACAACATTAGAAAATGTCCAGAATATTATCATTGGAATCAATTGATTAGAACTATTGTAACAAGTGTCGTGCTATTCATGCAGGAAGTTTTTGTTTCGTATAGCGACGCGCAATCTAATCATCATTAACTATGGTCAACACAATTTTCACACTTCCATTTAATTACTTGATCAGAATTTTCCTCTATTATTCGTCTCTTCTAAATCTCTCAAAGTATCGATCAAGTTCCTAATTTCATCTTCTTTGCGAAGCTTACTTGCAGCATGGCGACTACAACGTCGTTGGAATCGACTGGGGTGCAATCTCATTCACGCCATACGAATGGGCCAGCTCTCGCGTTGTGATGGTCAGCAAATACTGTTCCGCCTTCATCGATTTCCTTCAGCAAAAAGGATTGGATTTATCGCAAGTGACGATTGTCGGTCACTCGCTTGGTGGCCAAATAGCCGGATTGACGGCACGTTACATTGAAGGTCACGTGGACCTCGTTATTGGTAAGTCACGCATAGCGACGTTTCGACTGCTTTAGTTTGCCATTTATAATATTCGATGACATTATTCCTTGCCCACGCCGCGCCACTAATTGAGCCGTTTATTTTGAAAGTGGCATAAGTCACTTTGTTTTTAAGTCGATATATTTAAGGGTTTGCGTTTTAACACGTTTAAAAATATGAATGCTAACTTTCGAGAAGATTTACTTGTATTTATTATCTCAGGATACTGATATTTTTCTCAGTATAAATAATTTCGTATAAACATTACAAAATCACCACTTTTCATTACGGTAAAGTGACTTAAGCCGCTTTCACAATAAATAGTTTAGAAAAATGACTGACATATATTAATTTTGTCCGACGTATTTTACTGAAGTGATGTTTTGAAAGGACAGTGATTTACTAAAATTGTTGAATAAATTACATATATAATAATAATTTATACCATGAACATATTTAATGTAAAGGTTTGATTTAAGTATTTTTTATTTTAACATTCATAAAATACAAAAATAATTAGTACATTTTGAAACATAAGTATAAGTAATTTATATGAAAATACATCAGTTCAATTTAATTTTTGTTATCAATAGGAGTGATTAAGTACTCGGAAATCGTGTTTTGTTTCAAATTTTTGAAATAACTGTGGTATATTGGGGNTCCTCGGAAATCGTGTTTTGTTTCAAATTTTTTAAATAACTGTGGTATATTGGGGGTATATAATTAAGCAAGTCCATCATGTCTTTGTATTTTGCTGAAGAAACAGGACGAGATCCAGCGTATAACGGATCCATTTCTATTTGTGAATAACGCCTAGGTCTTCTTCTTTTTGGTGACAAATCCAAAGCTAGAAATTCATCTTTTTCATCTAAAGTTACTTTATAAAACATTTTATAGCCATCTGCCGGCGGGTCTGGAGGTAGC